AGCGAGTTTGGTGAAAGGACTGAATCGGCCCAAGTCAAACATCTTCAGTCGACCTAAATGATAACGAAGAAAAAGATGCATTGTATAATTTGTTCACGTCGGAATAGCGCTACACTTGATGTTCTGCCTTTAAAGCTCACAAATTTCAAAAATATCAAAGTGACTGGATTAAAGCCTCAGGCCACTAGTCCATCTACCGGGAAAGCGAATCCTTCGATATGAAACTCCCAAAATGGGATACAAAATCGCTCACCAACAGGTGCAATCCTTGAATGGAGAACAAATCAATAAGCCTTGCTAAAGAGTAAAATGGCTTTGTGTGTATTAAGATAAACCAGCTTCTATTACGGAAGATGGTTTTGGTTAAATCTCGAGAATTACCAGCGGTCGCAAAAAGCCCTAAGACTTAAATTACAGCAACAAGTCTTTTGTTCGCACAAATCTTTATTATTACAAATGGCATCAGAATGGCTACAGTGCGAGAGCTTGTCTCCTCAAGGGACAACCTTGTATTAAGTCCTATAACTGCAAGTTTTTTGTCATACGGAAGATATTTTCCACTCTGTTGAAATGGTTGGAGTGGTCTCGGCAGATTAATGAACAAGGCGACTTAACGCTGTAAGATCTCAGATCGGTTTGCAGTAAACATTTCAACAACGACCAACTTTCATGCTGATGTTCACTACCAATTTATCACGGTATTATCTTCAGCTTTAAGCAGGAAAACGCCAATACGCTGAGGGATAAGCTATACAGAGATGGTACACGGGAGATGAACCAGCAGACACCACCATGTTCATGATTTACTGACACTGATAATTAAGAACATAGCACTTGTGTTGTTGACCCCGTCCATTACAAATTTAATGCAATTGAAACGTTTATGCTGTCTAGGCCGAACAAAGCAACAACTGCCACGCTTCTCCTTTGAAACCAGTTCTCTTTAAATCTTTAAGTTGGAATGCAATTTATAGAAGCCGTCAATAACGAACGTCAATCGGAAAGTTTTTTAACTCTTCAGAAATGTAATGAAAGCAGGCCTACATTGTTGGCTACCTTTGGTGGAATTTAATCACCTTTGGGGGAAAATGAAAGTACGCGCAGTCTATATTTTGAAAAAAGTTTACTTGCTGAGAAAGGATCCCCTTGTTTTAAAGTAAAGTTATGAACAAAAAAAGAAGTTTCACGTCGTTATAGCCACAGTTGCGAAGTCCTGTCTCATATCGAAAAACGACTTAATTTGTATGGGCGCGCCCTTCGATGTTAATCGAATCATGCAGTACCTATGCAGACCGAAGCACTGTTCGACCGGCCGTTGCTTTGTGCATACTCCCGCCGATTATGATGCATGAGGATCGACCGACTGAAACATAGAAAGGATTGCCTTCTGGAGCTGGCATGGGATACATTACTCAGCTAACCAAACACTGAATTATAACACTCAAGGTTTTAGGGCATGCTTCACCGTTCAGTAAGACTAACGCACCGGGTGTAGACGGGCGCCAGACGGTGAACTAAATCTTATCTTTTTACGGTTACTTGCGCGCGATACCGTTCTTTCAAAGTGAGCCGTGCCCCGTTTTTGAATTATTCATTGGCTGTTGCAGGAGGACGATTGTCTGAGCGATCATTGGTGAGTAAAATGATTAAAATGCACGCTTTATTTATGTCTCTATAAAACCTGCATTGAGCAGATTAAATTATAGTGGTTTATAATACTAACACGTATAGTCATTTCCTGCTTAGGCTGTTAAAAAGGCTTATTACTGTCTCTCCTTTCTCCAAATCGATATAAACAAAAATGCGTGTTATTTATTTAGCATCACAATTTCCCTACAGTTACAAAGCGTTTCTAACCTTTTTTCCTTAGTCCTAAATTGCCTGTTCCTGGAGTGACATCACAGGGAACGAGCGTTTGATTTGAAATCACGAAAGTACAGTAGAAAAAAGAGAGAACTGGGGTCATAGATTTCACCACAAAACAATTGAGTGAGATATTCACTGTACGACCCCTTTAATTTTGTCCTTTCAGGGTTGCAGATAGCAGTTGATGAATGTCACATAATGTCTAACACCCACATGCGTGTCTGGGTTCAGTAATGATTTCTTTTAACCATAATAACTCGTACTACATGACCAGTGTGCAGCTTGGCTCTAATAAGGTTCCAACTGATTGCATGGGAACACAGCGCACAACTTTTTATCTAGAAAGAGGCGAAGATCAAACTGGGGAAAAAATCAAAAGTCGGCGTAAGTAAGAAGGCGACAGAATATTTGAAGTCTGAGCTAATTTATTTTTCAGTTTCAGACAAACAAAAGGAAGTTATGTGAGCCATGCACCTTTGGCACTGGTTGATGTAATTAAGTCCCTTTCCAAAAATGAGTCCATAAATATATTTTCTTACCAACTCACCACACCGTCTAAGACTTTATAACCGGTCTTCACTGACAGTAAGGAAATCATAATTTCTGTTGCCATCTCGACCGTATCCAGGTAGTCACACTATACAAGACCTGATTATCAACAGATCCCTCAATGCAGAGTGGCCATATAATAAAGATACCATTTTTAAGGAAAGGGTTGCATTACGCTGAAATCTGAGAAATTCCGGTAACCATCGATCCGATCAGGGAGAGAGTGATGCAGACGGCCTTGTGGGGCCAAGGTGTACTCCGTGAGTGGCCGACACCCTATCGATCCGGCCGATCCGGTAATTTTGTGGGTTGCAACTAGGGTGCAGACGCATACCAAACGGAGCGGAAAAGCCTTGCTTTGTAAATCGTTACCTTCGATTTGTTGCGCTGGGATTTGGTTCAAGAGAAATGAATTTGTCAGCATGAGATTTTGTGTATAGGTGATCATTACTTCTTTGAAACAACTTCGGTCAATTATCATTCCATTTCAGTGCAGGCACCCGTCAAGATTTCAATGTGTGGCAACCGATTTTTCCCGGAGCTAAACATCAACGTCAACCAAAAGGCGATTTCAGTCCTCATCACACAGTTTCAAAAGAATGCGCAAAGTCGGCATTCAAACAGCGCATGCCCAAACTGAAGCTCGTTGGAGGTCAATCGGGTCAGTCGACTCGCATGCGCGCTTTGTTCGTGAATGACCTTTCCTACTTCAAATACTGAACTCGCTTACTAAAAAAAAGTTGACATGGAAACTCCTCAGATTTGAACTTTACGCCCTTGTATACCAGTAGGTGTTACACATGAAGTGGTTATTCAATGACAAACACGTTGGTAATAGTATCGATCTATAGCAACTGCATGCATCAGAACTAATTTTATTGCAAAGAAGAGCTGAAGCAGCATTTCAGTTGTCAGAGGAAGAGCTGGGGGAGGGATTTATTCGCTCAAAATCTGCACATATTGTGCTGTAGTATATGCTTATTTCACGACTTGAATTACATTGTAGGAAGTATTGTGCCCTATAAATTGTGTAGCTTTGCTCAGACAAATCCCTGTAAAGTGCAATGAGATACTCAGGTGGTACAACTCTTGGATTCCCTAGATCCAGACTCAGGTTTCGCTCACCCACTTTTGATGTACTGTTGATATTATAGGGCAGCCAACTAAAACAACACTTATAAGGTCACTCTCTGGGAACTTCAAGATTTGAACACTCAACCGTGCATTCATGAGAGCAGTAATTAATCCCAGGGGTATCTGCAGGAAATGTGACAGGCTGATGAAAGAGGATCTCAAGTTGGGTACAGCGGGTTCTCAAACCTCAGGGTAAAGCGCAAAATTGTCGGCTGGTCTAGATTCTGAAATGGTTACAGGGTGGGTCGGGGATGTGTTTTTACTCGAGAGCCGTTTATATGGTGAGGACGGGTGTACATTCCAAACCAGCCCTACAGCATAACCATTATATATTGGACACGGCTCGCCAGTTCACATAAAATCGATCTGCTGCAGTAAACCAGGCGATAATTGTAACCCATTTCACCAGGGCGAAAGGTAAGGGGAATGAATGGATCGTCCTTACAACTTAATTACGGAGGAAACCCAGGAAACAGTATTCACCCGTTAATAAAAAACGACGATGATACAACATGAAAGATATCTGTATAGCGGGGAGGTTACCTGCAACTATTTATAGCATAACCCAGACTTGCACTCCTCAAAGTTTCTTAATATGGTTTCGGCAAACTCTTTCTTAAATTGTTTTGTTTCCATCATGGCTTAACAGGAATATGTAAAAACATGAGTTTTAAAGTGAAACGGGCACCATCAATATTTTCCTTGACTATAGTGGCTACAGGTTTGATGGAAGTACCTACAACTTTGTTTCGGAAATGCACTGGCTGCTACTAATTGTCAAAGAGAGAATTACACCTACAGTTCACTTGTTAGAGTATAGTTACAGAAAGTAAATACTCAAAAGTATAACGTGAAAACCCCAAACCTGCAAAGATACTGTAAACATATTTCAGCCAAATAGCAAACTTTACATTTTAAACAGCTTTCAGCGTGTTTGTCCAAATTATGGCATATGCATTCCTAGATATCATTATGCACATAACCACGGGCCTTTGCAATTTTATTAGACCTAATTATATAACTTCCATTACACAAAAATGTCTTTGTTAAAGTAGCCTCATTTTGCAATCTTCGAGGAAAAAATCTTAGGTATTTTGACATTACTGCTTACATGGAAATGACGAAAACATGGCATCCCTTTTTGATAATTTACTGCATATCATTTTGCGCACATGATAATTACATACTCTTCAATTCAATTTTGGAGTATTTCAATAGCGTATTCCTCTCACAAACATTGCGTTCAGACATAATTTTTGCTGGAGCGTATATCTGCAAATTTCTTCCAACCAAATTTAATTGCTCGATCTGAGATCGAGGCATTCAATGCAACCCAACCTCCCCCTGTTGATGAATGGAACAGGCTAATAAAATTAATATCTTTTTTGAGCGCGCGAGATGAGATGAGATGAGATGACGCCGGAGTATGCAAAATGCTACCAAACCAATGAACAGCGGGAGCTCGGGGCACGCGGACCTAATCAGTTCTCTCCCAGTCTGGGCGCAGTGTGGAGGGTTATTATGCTCGAGCCTGGACATGTCAAGCCAGTGTTCGCATCTCGCGTTCGTCTGCAGTGACGGTGTCTTGTCATCATCAATCCTGGGCAGCCTACAGTGTCGTCGCGACGCACTATGGGAAATCCGTCGTTGCTCACCTGCGCGTTCTAGCAGCTTTCGTTGTTGCAGCCGTACGAGAGATGAACCCAGCATATTGGCGCGGAAAATGATCCGGCTGTAGAAAATAAGCTGGCAGATGGTTGCTGCCGGCTCGTCCTGAGCGGCAACAAAGTGAAATACAAACCCTTTGCAGTGGAAAGGTTTTTGGTTAGCACACCGATCATCATCGCGCACAACAGAAGTGGTGCTGTTCGCTGCATCAAGTCGGTTCAGTTCATCCGGTCAACGCCAGAGCAGTTTATACACCGAGAAAAGCTTGTACCTCTAAGCAAACTACAGTTGCGGGTTGGAGTGCCGAGGGAATCTTCACACCAGTTAGTCGGACCCATACCCCTTGTGGTTAAATGTCCTATTTTCTTCGCTCAGCTTTGATGTGATATTTTGGTGGAAACGAGCAACACCCTTATGTGAACATGCCAGCTCGAAAGGGTCTACTAGCACCCCAAAACACTTTCTTGGATACCATAGCCACACGTTTCGATGGAACTCGTAAGTAAAGCCGTACATGTTTTCTATAAAACTGTACATTTGTATACAGCCGTAAACTATTGTATCTACGCAATCCAACCGTATCTCAAACCAGCATGTCACTTGCTCTTCAGATAGGCCTTAGCGGTATATTACTACATGCATCTTTCGGCATATTACTCAAATACACTTCGTCGGTTGTAGTCTACCAAGTTCTGAATAAAAATCATAGCTTGTTTTAGTCCATTTTTTCCTCTTAAAGGATATGTAGCACTGTAGCTCTTAAGTTGAGGGAAAGTTGTGCTCCTGAAAAGAACAGGAATTCACACCTCCAATTTTAAGTAGACAGTGTCAGACCCTAGCTTGCGAGACGAGCCGCGAACCCATAAGCCACGGAACCCCCGGTTTTTTTTTTCATTAAAAACACGCGCACTGCCACTACTTTTGTCCCTCTTTTTTTTTTTTAATAGATTATTTGGTTGAGTCCTCTTCACAACTCGTCCAACAACAGGGAAATCTGAACACTGTTATACCTTTATCTGAAACAGAACAGCGAAGCTCACATCGTTCCGCCGTGTATCATGACTGAATTCTCGCGCAAATTCATGTCAGGGTTCCATGGCCATTTTATGTTTTGGTACACAGAGTTATTATTAAAAGTAATTTGCATAAACCGATACGGGTATACTTCCGTTGCAATCCATGCATGACGGTTCCAGCAAGTTTATAAGCCAAGTGGCCGTGGCGAAAGCCCTTCCGTCATATTTGCGAATGGTGTCATCATGTGTCTGGGTACACATTTGTCCATTTATGGAAGCCGAGCTGCAAAGCGAGAGGTAAGTATATGTATATACCTGCTGTAACACCCCACAGTTGTCGGTATGAGGCCTCCGTGACATGCATGCAATATTATTTGACAGATTACAACAATAAAAATACGGTAAATTCTGCGGTTGCGTCAACACGGTATAGTGCATGTCGACGAACCTGCCCTCTTCCCCGCCCCCTGTATACAAATTGCTGGATAGGACTAATTAGCATGTCTAATGACGTTACAGGCACGTAGTCAACATCGGATAGGTCTGGCATGTTGTGCGCCTGATGTGCGAAGGAAAAGTCACAATTTGCATTCGATTTCAAAGGCGCTTGGACTCCACCAACATGACCATAATTCGATATACTGCGCCAAGCAGTATAATCTTGCATACTGAAATCATCTATCATAGCAATGGTTAAACAGACATTTTTATATAATTGTATAACTTCAACATTATCCATATATAGGCTACAATGCAAAATGTGTGTTAATAAGGGAATAAAATCTTTCTTTCTTTATACATTTGTAACATATTGAATAATGACATATGAAATACTAAACATGTTTGTAATAAAAGTATATAGTGTTCAACACCGAACACTGACGTTTAGGAATTGGAGATATAAAATGTGTAGCTTCTAAACAATGTTGCAAAGTGAGAGCAAGATTGTATTTAATTACCAAGCATAATGATAAGGGTGTAAGAGTCAGGGGTAAGGCTACACATTAAAAACGAATGCTAAATCAAAATTTCATTGTAACAATGATTTATGTTTTAGAAAACCTTGAAATTTGAATAACTGTGACAATGACATTTTGATGCTGCATTCATAAAAATGAACACAACGTAATTATTCGCGATTAGAATTGACCTAATGCTATATACAGAGAATTTACCAAGTATTTATTAGTAGATGTAGATAGAAAAGTCAGTTCAACTTCGCAAGATGACTGAAGGCTGAATTCGATTTATAAAGGAGCTACTTTGCAGCACTCATGAAGCGTTAAACACATACGGTTCTTCTTGCAAGCAGGACACGAACACGAATTTAAAATGTCTGAATTACTGAGCGCAACACCCAGAATGGAAAAAAAAGGAACAAATTCTACCAACACCTAAAACAGACTCGACAGCATATGCGTTAAATATTTAGCAACACGGTGCCTTGTGCGCAAGATAATTAACTGTAATTCAGTTTGAGTTAACGACTCCCCGTACAAACTACTACGACGACACTAGTTATCCGCTTACACCTTTTGACCTTGTTCAGTACAAGTGTAATTCCTCGGTCGTCTGGTGGCGTTAGCTTTCCATGCACGTACCCGAGGCATTAAAAGCAATGTGTTGAGCTTTTATACAAAATTTCAGTTCGCTTTTCCTAAACTCTCTCATTAAAATGTGTCTAAAGTCGTGCCTACACTAATTAACATGCCGTGTGAAACAAAATAATTATGTATCTTTGTAAAAGATACATAATGTATCTGTTTTGTAATAATAATGTTTTGTATCAATCACTGTTGATTGGTTGGGATCGCTAAAAAATATTCCGACTTATTCAGATTTATTGTTTGATAAATGAAAATTGTAGCCAAATCAGAAGAAGACTTTCTGTTTGTAAAACATATTTGTTATATTTTGGCGGATTCCCTAAATAGATAGTTCGCAGATTGAGAGATAGTCGGTCTATCATGTGGGATAACAGCCATATATGGAAGACAGCAGCTTTCACGCATCCTGAGCGTGTAGGAAAAAGGGAAAAACAGATTTAGATACTCAATATCTCCACAGTAGGCAATATAAAAGCGATTTAAGAACATTACAGTAACTAAAGTGAAAAAAAACACGTTTTTGCGACCCCAACTTCCCAAATCCTGCTGTCACATGGATTCTCAAGAGAAAAGCATTTTGATGCTGATTGCTATAAGGACTTCATGATTACCCAAGGTGTGTGAGATTAAAGTACCCATCTTCATTCGAAAAGCGATTTTTCCTTCCACAGTTTCGACGAAACCTCTTGAAGACTCAAGAATCGAACCGTGTTTTATTTGCTCGAGTAAGTCCGGGTTGCCTCTGTGATTGCTAGCTATAGTGGGACCTTCTGCGCTGTGTTTGGTGATGTTTCCCATTGGGGGTTGCGGTCAACGAGACGGTCTTGCACGTCTTCAGCAATTATACCAGCCCCATGACACGGCTAACAAAGGACTCAGCAACTGTATCGGGTGAATCCGTCGATTGGGCTTTAGTATGGACACTTGATGGCTTTGGGGAAACTAAAGAATTTCATAAGCATGGATCAACGTTTGCAGAAGACGATTTTAACATGTAATTTTCTGAATAGTACAAAAAACAATTACAGAGGTACACATCAACTTACCTTTATTAACTGTTCTGGTAAGAGTTCAGACTTCCAAAGACAACTTTACAGAGCGGTTGGTTTCTCTGAAAAAAGTTATACCCTTAATGAAGATGTACAATTTTGGTACTCACAGTTAGCAAATTTAAAGCCACTTTACACCCAAAACGTGTCTTCATTTTTTTTTGCGCTTCGCAATGCCTTTCTGTATTCCTCTCTTGCATGTGAACACCCTTCGCATCAACAAGTAGGTATTCCCAAATCAGATGAATATTTCAACGCGTGTAATACCCTGGCCGACAGCCTCTCAGGTATTTCAAAGCAGCGAAAAAAACGGTGACATTTGACACCGCGTACTGCATGCGGCTCCGTCTTACTCGGACGTGTGGCTGGGTGCGCGGAGACATGTTTCCCGGTGCCAATGCTGGTCTAGAAACCATTAACATCAGGTGGTTCATAAATTAAATATAATTGGTTTGGATTAATGTCTGAAGCGTACTCGCTTTCCACCTGTGATTGGAATGCCCCTCCTCGTATGTTATATTTCTCCTTTTTTTTGAAAACTATACATGCTTGCCATGCTGATCAGCAATATATACATGAATCATCGTAATTACCACTGACATTCGGCACACAGATATCGTTCTTTTTTTTACTTAAACACATCTCAGTCAGTAGTTCCACTATAAATAATCTCCACAAAATTGACTTTAACATGATATTCAGAAGGCGGCTGCAGCTTGAAATCATATCATTTTTTTGCAAACCGCTATCCGCATGGCTGGAAATTGCATAGCAGAAGAAACCTGTCGGTGCGTAACAGCAAAGGAAATGCACGCTATTCTACACGTGAGGTGGTTCCCTAGCATGTGTTTGGAAAAACTGCACTTGGTTTATGCATTTGCCTTTCCTTGTCGGTTTTGGATGAATCATTAAATGGGCAGCGACAGACAGCGCAAACGGTCATAGTATCGCACAATGGTAAACTCTCGAGCAGCTGGAATTTTACTTTTCGACTCGTGCGTGTTTGATTTCCGAAGTACAAAGACTCTTAAGTCGGAGAGTAGACTGTCAGCATGAACATAAGGGTCATTTGGGAGGGGAAAAAGAGAACTCAATCATGAATTTGTAATCTCCCCCCATGGAAACGATGCAATTACATCTAAATTAAATGTTGGATGTTTCGTTAACATAATTTAATTCGCACGGAAATTGAAAAACCAACATTTTCATGAAACCATTCCCTCTACTTACAGGCCCCACACGAATTTAATTAGCCCGTCAAGGCTTAGAGGAACTCATTTCACAATGTAAACACCAGTCGAGTATGACCACTCCTCGGTCTATCAGAATACCGTGCACTGTTCGACAATGGATAAAAGGTGCAGGGAAGATAATGACGCCAAACAAATGTTGAAATCACGTGATCTCCACGCACCCCATAAACATTGTAACTCAGGGCCCACAAAATGTTATAATAGTGGCTGATGAGTCGGTGACTATCAACGGACAGCTACAAATCTGGTTGTTTTGAACAGTGTAACTCTTTGCTTTTCAAGAACATGGAACTCATATGACCAATTATGAACACTGTATACAGAGGTAAATCTGTCATTCTGTCGACACACTTGACGGGAATAATCTGCATAAGTTTAAACGTGTCCTTAACCGAAAACAAGTGACCCTCCGTAAGTATGTACACAACGACATGTCAGGCTAATCAAAATCATTTAAAACTGAACAGTGTGTATATTCAGGGTTTACCAAAAGGTAGAACTTATTTTGGACGATTTTTAGCAACTGTGTGTATGCCACAGTGAAAAGCATACCACACTTCTATGCAACCGTGA